ATTTTTTAAAGCAACCTATTATTTAGATCTGTCTGATCAGCCTTACAGGGAAGCCAAGGTTGAGAAACACTGCCCTACACAATTTCAAACAAACGGTGGTTGTTAAGATAATTTAAATGTAAACGACAGTTGTGCCATCTGTCAGGACAGACACTCGGAGCCGATTGATTGGACAGAGCTGGTTCTCCTGCATGAGGCAACGAGCGCTGTGATTGGTGGCCGTGGGTAAAAGGGGGCGTTTCCTTCTTTCCCGCCTTTTTCTTCCATGTAATTAATGGGTGATTTACCTCATGAGGATGTTCCTGTGTGGACTTTACCTCACGAAGTTCCTATCTTGACTGATATCAATATAGATGGTTGAATATATTTATTTATATAAAACTACAAGTTCGGGTCAGTGTCCCTGACTTCATTGGGACAGCTGCTGCACGATTCCCTATGCTGGCTGGGGGATTCTGGGAGTTGAAGTCCACAGGACTTCAAGTTGTCAAGGTTGAGAAACAGTGGTGTCGGGTCTCCTGCTTGAACAGGGGTTGGGGGGGTTGGACTAGAGGACCTCCTGAGGTCCCTCTGTTCCTGCTATTGTGTTATTATGATATATCATTCTGAAATGCGTATCTGAAAGTTTGGATAGTTTCAAAAAAAGAAAAGAAAAGTGATGAAAAGGGAGTTTTCATTTGGTATCAAGGCTCATGCGCCGATGCAGAATATTTTAATGCATAAAAATGAGGGCCGGTGAAAGAATTCTTGGTTGATTAATCATCTCCCTTTTAACTGATTGACTTAATTTGAATACATTTTCTTATTGCCGCTACCTCTGTCGCTTACTTTGGACCAAAAAAAGAAAACTTCCTTCTATTCGTCTCTTTTTCTCCTTCCTGCCATCCCTTCCATCTATCTCCTTCCTTTCTTTCCTTCCTTCCCTCTTTTTCTCCTTCCTGCCATCCCTCCCATCTATCTCCTTCCTTCTTTCTTTCCTTCCTTCCTTCCCTCTTTTTTTCCTTCCCTCCATACTTCCCATCTATCTCCTTCCTTCTTTCTTTCCTTCCTTCCCTCTTTTTCTCCTTCCCTCCATCCCTCCCAGCTATCTCCTTCTTCCCTTCCTTCCTTCCATCTATCAATCCACCCCTCTCTTCTTCTCCTACTCTCCATCCCTTCCATCTATCTCCTCTTGTCTTTCCTTCCTTCCCTCTTTTTCTCCTTACCCCCATCCCTCCCATCTATTTCCTTCCTTCCATCGATCCATCCATCCCTCTCTTCTTCTCCTACTCTCCCTTCATTATCTCCTCCCGTCCTTCCTCCCTTCCCTCATTTTCTCTTTGCCCCGTCCCTCCCATCTATTTCCTTCCTTCCATCAATCCCTCCCTCTCTTTTCCCATATGTTCCATCCCTCCCACCTATCTCTTCTTGTCCTTCCTTCTTTCCTTCCTTCCTTCCTTCCAACGATCCCTCCCTTTCTTTTTTTCATACATTCCATCTCTCCTATCTATTTCTTCTTGTCCTTCCTTCCTTCCATCCCCTCCTCCCTCCTTCCCTCCCTCCCTCCTTCTCTGAATAATCTAAATAATATACACTTCCATTTTTCATTGTTGATCATACAGCCAGTAAGATGTTTGGACTGGATTTGGCATTTTTACCCACCAAGGGAGTCCTTCCCAAGGACCTGGGAAAGGCAGATGTGCTTGTTATAGGGTTTACTGCCTAGGCAGGGGGTTGGGCTAGAAGACCTCCAAGGTCCCTTCCAACTCTGCTATTGTATTGCATTGCATTGCATTGCATTGCATTGCATTGTATTGTATTGTATTGTATTGTATTGTATTGTATTGTATTGTATTGTATTGTTTGAGTTAATGAAAGGTATCATCACAGGATGTCAGCTCTTCCAAGTCAAGCTGCCTTTTGCAATTGACCGATGGTGAATTTGTCAATGCCGATGGTGTTTAAGGAGTGC